GCTGGGCTTTTGATTAGTGTTGGACTGATAACAAATATTACAGTTTCCTATGATTAATGCTTTCTATAGTGGCTAAATGTGCACTTCATGGGTTGTGCCTAAACAGAGTGAATTTGCATCTTATTATTCCGCTCCCTCCAGCAGGAACCTTTGTGCCTCTCGGGCTGTAAGTGTTGCAGGAATGTTGTCGCCCCAGTTTCGTCTTACACATCCGTCCCTTCCTGGGGATTAATTGGGAGAGGCATCTGGGTGAGCCTAAATCCTCCCTCGCGTCGCAGCAAACTTTTAAACTCCCGTTTTAACTTTTCTTCCAGTTTAACCTCATATTAAATCATAGTTATACAGTAGTTTCGTGAACTCTCAAGCTTCCTCTTTCCACTGCGTATTCAAGAGGGACAGTGATTAATATTTATATGTATTTATATATGTAAATGTGTAGGTATATACATATGCTGTATAGACTAGATTAGACTAAACTAGACTAACTAGACTAGACTAGACTAGACTAGACTAGACTAGAATAGAATAGAATAGAATAGAATAGAATAGAATTATGGATAGAATAGAATAGAATAGAATAGAATAGAATAGAATAGAATAGAATAGAATAGAATAGAATAGAATTATGGATAGAATAGAATAGAATAGAATAGAATAGAATAGAGCTGGAAGGGACCTTAGAGGTCTTCTAGTCCAGCCCCCTGCTCAAGCAGGAGAACCTATACCATCTCAGACAAGTGACTGTCCAGTCTCTTCTTAAAAACCTCCAGTGTGTGTGCATACTTTGAGAATAGAATTTCATTTTTAATGTGTGCCAGTGTGCCCACAGTAAAAAAAAACACTAAAGGTTGTCTTATATATCTTATATTTAATATTAATCATTGTTTTTCCTCCATACCATCACTCTGCTGAACACCTAATTCCCACAGTACTGTCTTATGCCTAAGGATATTAATACCCATGTAGTAGTGCTATATGGTAATAGAATAGGAATGGGAATAGGAATAGATATTGGAATAGGAATAGGAATAGAATAGAATAGAATAGAATACAATACAATACAATAGAATACAATAGAATAGAGCTGGAAGGGACCTTGGAGGTCTTCTAGTCCAACCCCCTGCTCAAGTACTGGTCCTTACCTTAGTTGGTGCCTCATTTTGCTGCTGTTACATAGGATTTTGCTACAACCTAAAGTATAGAGATCTGAGTAAAGTCCTACAAAAATTATCTCTTCTTCCAGGGCTCTGATGAAGCGGAGATGTTCTGCTAAACACCTCACTCTCACAGCACCGTCTTATGTTTAGTAGATATTTACCCATGTAGTAGGGCTGTATTGCTATTATCCTTCTCATCTTTTCTCGTCTTCTCGTTTTTTCCTACTTCCTTCTCCTGTTGGTATCTTACGATTTGCCACTTGTTGTTTGTACCTAATGATTTATGGTTGTATCTTATGGTTTATGATCTATGGCTTGTCACTTTGTAGTTTGTATGTACACCGAGAGCTTATGCACGGGCGACAAATTTCTTGCTTGTCCCATCACACTTGACCAATAAAGAACATTCCTGTTCTAATTCCAATATTAGAGTTCAGAGAACTTTTTTTAAGAAATCCTACATCAGCCACCAGCCTTTCAGTTCTAGCTCAGTTGCCTTCAAAAGCACTTGAGATACTTGGCCTTCTTTCTCTGGGTGTGCAAAGCCAACAGTGGCACCAAACTCTTTCTAATTTTTTATCTTCCTCCCCAGATCTCAAGCTTGCGCCCGTCCTAGCAAATCTAGCATCCTAAAAATAAAGATTAAGAACCAAAAGTTACATTTCCCACCCGTTCTCCTGTTCACAAACATGTGATTAAAGTTTAAAGGAAGGAAAAGATTTGGGGATTTATATAGCCCATCGGCCACTTGCAAGGAAAAGTGCCCTGATGTTTTAGCATTAAATTCAAACGCCTGGGGTTTTTTTTTCCCCCCCTCCTTTGTCGAAAATAGGCTTTGGCTGGCAATGACAGAAAGGCCGTACAGAAGCAAGTTGAACCGTTTTCTTCCAGTTTACCAAGTTAAAGAGGCTTCTCCACCTTTTTCAAGCTAACAGTGAATTTCTGCTGAAGGGCTTATTGGATTCGGTTCAGCGTTTTAGAAAATAGAACCACGAGTGGCAGAATCAATATGCTTTCTCTTTTTTTTTAAAAAAAAGAGAAAGTTTTAAGTGCACTTTACAAACAAAAAACAGCCTGCCAACTAAGGGGTCACTGCCAAAAAGGCCAACACAGTGCATTAACAGAGGTATAGATCACCTGAAGTATTAATACCACTTTACAAGGCCTTGGTAAGGCCACACTTGGAATACTGCATCCAGTTTTGGTCACAGCAATGGAAAAAAAGATGCTGAGACTCTGGAAAGAGTGCAGAGAAGAGCAACAAAGATGATTAGAGGACTGGAGGCTAAAACATACAAGGAACGGTTGCTGGAATTGGGAATGTCTAGTTTAACGAAGAGAAGGACGAGGGGGGACATGATAGCAGTCTTCCAATATCTCAGGGGCTGCCCCAAAGAAGAAGGAGTCAAGCTATTCTCCAAAGCACCAGAAGGCAGGACAAGAAGCAACGGATGGGAACTGATCAAGGAGAGAAGCAACCTGGAACTCAGGAGAAACTTCCTGACAGTTAGAACAATTAACCAGTGGAACCACCTGCCTCCAGAAGCGTTGAATGCTCCAACACTGGAAGTTTTTAAGAAGAGACTGGACAGCCATTTGTCTGAAATGATATATAGGGTTTCCTGCCTGAGCAGGGGGTTGGACTAGATGACCTCCAAGGTCCCTTCCTACTTTTATTACTACTACTACTACTACTACTACTACTACTACTACTACTTTTACTACTACTGCTGCTGCTGCTGCTGCTGCCGCATTGCATTGCTTAAAAGAAATTGCATGGGAATTTCCGTAAAATCATATTGGAAACTGCAGGGCCCAGATACAGGACTTCTTAAAAAGTTCCCTGAACTAGGTTAAACTTGAAGAAAAGTTAAGTGGACTTTTTTTTTTTTAGAAAAAAAGGGTAATTCCTAGGCATATATATTCATTTAATGACCGTCCTAAGTTAAAATGCCACTGGAAAAAGAGACTTTTGACCATTTTTCACACTTACGACCGTTGCAGCATCCCGTGATCAAAATTCGGGCGTTTGGCAACTGACTCATATTTATGACGGTCGCAGTGTCCTGGGGTAACGTGATCCCCTTTTGTGACAAATCAAATTCAATGGGGGAAGTCAGATCCACTTAACAACCAGGTTACTAACTTTTATCAACTGCAGTGATTCACTTAACAATTCTGGTCACAAAATGGGGCAAAACTCACTTAACAAATGTTCTCCCTTAGTGATAGAAATTTTGGACTCAATGATGATCATAATTCGAGAACTATCTGTATGTTAAAGGACAGTCTAGTTTTAGCTATTATAAATATGCCTTTTTTTCCCCTATCCTGGAAGAGCCTTTTCCCCCCCCCTCCCAGAATGTAACTATGCTAAGAGATTTGGTAGTTCATAAAGCGATAACGAGTATAAAATTTATGAATCAGTTAACTTTTAATGTGCAATTTATTTTATCTATTTACAGTATGCCTCTTGTAATTTCAGTCATTTCCTGAGTCCAAAGGTGTTATTAGGGTCTGGGGAAATAGGATATTGGCTGTAATTCTTTCTAACACGGCTGCCACACGGAAATTGCATAAAATGTCATGTCATCGTATAAAAATTTGGGGTTTTTTTGTTCTTCCGGTATCCTGGTTTTAAAATTTTTGTTGTTTTTCATTGCGGAGAAACATTCCTCAAAAAATAAGAATAGAATAGAATAGAATAGAATAGAATAGAATAGAATAGAATAGAATAGAATAGAATAGAATAGAATAGAATATATGGAATGGAATGGAATGGAATGGAATAGAAAACATGGAATAGAATAGAATAGAAAATATGGAATAGAATAGAATGGAATAGAATATAGGATAGGGAATAGAATAGAACAGAACAGAATAGAATAATGGAATGGAATGGAATAAACAGAACAGAACAGAATATTCTTTATTGGCCAAGGGTGATTGGAAACACAAGGGATTTGTCTCCAGTGCAGAAGCTCTCACTGTACATACAAGCAATAAGTGATAAATCATTATCATAATCATCATAAGATACATTCATCAGAAATCATAAGATACAACACTTAGTGAGACTGGAGTGAGGGAAGAACTATTCCTCTTTGTCTGGATATACTTAGCAAAAGGGTTTTAACAGCAAACATTATTATTTTTAAATTTATATGCCATCCCTCTCACTCTGATATGTGACATGCAGAAACAACAGTCTAGTTCGGGTTATGTACACATGTGCATGGCGGGAAGTGCTGTTGTAAGTTGGAACCGTCACTAAGTGAACTGTGGTAAGCTGAGGGCCACCTGTAATATGGGAGCTGAAGTGAAATGAGACAACAGATCCTCCTTCACTAGATACATGAGACACAAGCATTACATCGGTAGCTTCTGCTAGACCAGTGGTTCTCAACCTGTGGGTCGGGACCCCATTTGGGGTCGATCGACCATTTCACGGGGGTCGCCAAGCAAGGCTGTCCGCCATTTTTTTTGTCCGCCATTTTTTTCCCCTTTTCCGGCGGGTGCCTTACCTCCCTTGGGCTGGGCCAGCTGGTGGTCGGCCTGCTCCGTCTCTGCCGCTTGCCAGCTACGCCNGGAACCACGCATGCGCGGCGCTCCCGGGCAGGGAAAGTCCTCGACTTACGACCGGTCAGGTAGTCCTCGACTTACGACCGGTTTAGTCCTCAACTTACGACCGGTTTAGTCCTCGACTTACGATTGGTTTAGTCCTCGACTTACAACCGGTTGGGGTCGCGGCATTAAAAAGGTTGAGAACCACTGGGCTAGATGGACAGCTACGGTTTTTTCCCCTCCACAGCGACTTGAACTCTTTTAACTCTTTTCTCATAGATGAAAAGCAGAGAGGAAGAGGAGGAGGAGGAGGAGGAGTTTGTGGAGGTGCCTGAGAAGGAGGGCTTTGAGCCGCAGATCCCAGACCACCTTCGGGAAGAATATGGTGAGTTTATCCAGCTGTGAAGGCTTCACCCCTGCTTGTTGAAACCTTGCTTTTGTGGTCTGCCTCTGTCAGGAACTTTTGGTGCCAGCAAATTTTAGAAGGAGGACTTCTTCTTGCTGTTATCAAGAAGTGGTTAATACCTTTATATATATACGTATATATACTAGCTGTACCCGGCCACGCGTTGCTGTGGCTCAGTCTGGTTAAATGGAAAAGAAAGAAAAGAGAAAGCGCATGCTTCTAATATGTTTAGACATCTATAATATGTGACATCTATATAACAGTAGGTATATAAAATCACGCGCGTATTCAAATGCAATGTGTCAAAATTTCAAAGCAATTGGTCAAGAGCTTTCGGAGATTTAAGATTTTGAACAAATGAACATTTACATTTTTATGTATGTATGTATGTATGTATGTATGTATGTATGTATGTATGTATGTATGTATGTATGACTGGTAATAATGGTAAAGATTTGACTCTTGGGTGCATTCATCTCAAAACCAAAAATAACATTGACCACCAAGAGAAGATTAAAATATTTAAAGGCATTTAAAACATTAAAAGCATTTAAAACATTTAAAAAAACAAGGCAACCAAGCTTTCGTCGGGCACTCCCGACATCATCAGGGTTGAAAAAGGCAGTTAAGGGTGGAACTTATATGTATGTATGTATGTATATATGTATGTATGTATGTATCTCTGCAGAAATTATCAGACTTCACATGAAACAGAAATGTTTCTCTCCACTAACTAGCTTTTCGTGGAAGTTTCTCTTCTTAGATAAAAAAAACCTACCATCTACTAGTGTCCACCATTTTCTACTCGTTGTTAATCCTTCTTCTTTATCCTGATAACGTTGGCCCTGTTGCCAAGAATTTTTATCACATCCTATCCAGAATGTGTGTTAAGGCACTCTCCTGGCCTTTTTGCGTAAGTCAAATTTTCAATAAGGATGGAATTACCACTAAGATGTGCGTATTCCTGCTTTTTGGCTCTCCCATGTTAAAGTTCCACAAACGCTCTTTGGATAATCTGAAACTAGCGATTCTTAGCTCTTCACCTGCGTAATTTCTCCCGACTTACCTCTTTGATGTAACTGAAAATGGGCACATTTATCTAAAAAAACACTTTAATGTAGTTGACTCTGTCCAACTCAGCAGAATCTCACGCTACCTAGAGGGTGTTGGGTACCTTTTGTGATTCACCTTGAACTTTTGCTGAGAAGTCTTGAAATAAAATGGATGCAGAATGAGAGTTATTATTATTAAAAAAAAATTGTATTTAGCATGGCCTCCTTTGATTAAACGTGCCAAGTATTGTTGGCAGGTCAGACTTAGGAAATACTTTTATCTCTAATAATTCTAGAGATGTTTCTAAGGCTTTGTTGCCTTCATGTGAGGTTGTCTCCTTTTAGAGGAGACAACATCTTTTGTGGGTCCAATTTTCAACCCACACTTAAATAGATAGATTTCAAAATGCCAGCTGGCATATCTTTCAGAGATTCCCAGAGAGAGAAAAATGTCTCTTTTTCTAAGCAAGAAAAATTAGGATGCATTGAAGGGATGCTCCTTGTTGGAATGTAAGGCTGGTATTCTTATTCACGATACCTCAAAGTCAAAATTACTTTGAAGATACAATACTGTGGATCAATTTAATAAAACTACAGGTAGTCCTGCACTTATCACCACAATGGAGCCCAAAGGTTCTGTTGTTAAGTGAAACATTTGCTAAGTCAGTTTGGCTCCATTTTTCAACCTTTCTTACCACAATTGTTAATTGAATCACTGCAGTTCTTAAATTAGTAACATGGTTCTTAAGTGATAATCTGGCTTCCCCGTGGACTCTGATTGTCAGAAGGTTGCAAAAGGGGATCACGTGATCTTGGACACTGCAACTGTCATAAGTACATGCCAGTTGCCAAGCGTTTGAATTTCGATCACGTGATCTTGGGGAGGCTGCAAAGGTCGTAACTGTGAAAAACGGTCATAAGTCACTGTTTTCAGTGCTGTTGTAACTTTGAATGGTCACTAAATGAACTGATGCTGATGCTAAATAACTAATGCTGCCTGCACTTTTGCCTTGAAAATGCGGAAAGGAGAATTGTGCTAGGTTTTAGAGAAAAGTCTACCTTAATATATATATATATTTCTAGCAACTTTTTTTTTAGTTAGGCAAAAGATAGCGTATCAATGCATGTAGCATATTCAGGAACAATCTGCAATCTTTATTTATTTTCAGCCCTGCTGATTAATCGGGGGACATTTTTAAGCCTTCCTTAAGGCTCCCATTGATTAATGACACCAATTATTCAATTAAAACCTGCAGCCTTAATTTAGCAATGGCATTTAGAGCTTTCCAGCCCGTGTAATCTTTACTTTCACACCCCTTCTTCAGTCTTTTTTTCTGCTCTTGAGGGTTGTGTTAGGATCTGACTGGATCTAGAACGCTCAACAAGGAAACTCAAATCAAAGTGATCAACACAATACACACATTTAAAAATGGCTCCCCTGGATTCCTAACTGCCACTCTTGTGATCTTTCCCCTTTTCCCATCCATAATAAATGTCTACATTCTTTGTCAATGAAGCGTATTTTTCCACAGGGACCTCAGACCTTTTACAGGTAATCCTTGACTATTTTTTGTTTAATGACCATTCAAAGTTACAACGGCTCTGAAAAAAAGTCACCTATGGCCATTTTTCACACTTAGGATGTTGCAGCATCCCCATGGTCACGTGATCAAAATTCAGACGCTTGGCAACTGACTTGTACTTATGACAGTTGCAGAATCCCGGGATTATCTGTTCCTCTTTTGCCGCCTTCTGACAAGCAAGGAGAGAAGCAACCTAGAACTAAGGAGAAACTTCCTGACAGTTAGAACAATTAACCAGTGGAACTCCTTGCCTCCAGAAGCGTTGAATGCTCCAACACTGGAGGTTTTTAAGAAGAGACTGGACGGCCATTTGTCCGAAATGGTATAGGGTTTCCTGCCTGAGCAGGGGGTTGGACTAGATGACCTCTAGGGTCCCTTCCAACTTTCTTCTTCTTCTTCTTCTTCTTCTTCTTCTTCTTCTTCTTCTTCTTCTTCTTCTTCTTCTTCTTCTTCTTCTTCTTCTTCTTATTATTATTATTATTATTATTATTATTATTATTATTATTATTATTATTATTATTATTATTATTATTATAATAGTCCATGGGGAAGCCAGATTAATTTAACAACTGTTTTACTAACTTAACAACTGCAGTATTCACAGAACAACTGTGGTGAGAAAAGTTGCAAAACGGGGCAAAACTCATTTAACGTCCGAACTCGACTGTGTTGCTTCTCTAGGCCACACATAGGTGTGTGTACGTGGGTATATGCATAACTTATTTATTTATTTTATCATGTTTCTGCAGCGTAGATCGGAGGGGGTGACCCTCTGAGAGCTGCATGCAACCAAACCTCATTTTAACACATGCCGATCAGCGTACGTTTAGAGTGACAATAAAGTTATTATTCCATCCTGTAGCAAATGTCTCGGTTAGCGACACACTTTGGGGCTCAGCCGTGGTCGTCACTTGAAGGCTAACTACATTTTCAATCAGTGTTGCAAACTGGTTCCGGGAGATGCAGTCTCTGGAACGATCTCTCTGGATACCTTAACGGCAACCAGAAACTCTTCCGGGTAAAACTTTGTAATTCACCCAGATGTGTGAGTCACCGAGACCAACGTGGAAGAAGAACGTGTGAATGCACAACCGTCCTCAACTTCCTGGTTTCAGGAGCCCTCGCTGCTCCCATAGAATCCACTGGGTTTATTTTGGGCCCTGAAGGGGTTCAGTGGGGAGACATGGGGTGCAGAGTTCCCCCCCCATCAACTCTCTGATCCCTAGAAAAGTCCAAACTGGGGTCCCACTGCAGTTCTCCACCTTGTCTGGATTCACAAATTACCCCTCAAAGTCCAGCCGGTAACCGGCTCATTCTGTATCCTATTTAAATTATTCGTGCATTGATTTTTTTCTTCTTTTACCTGGTGTTGAAGGATCTGCTTTTTAATATACTGTGAATGGAGATGAACTCCAGGCACGTTGTGCACTAGATGGGAAGCCGCAGATTGTTCTTTATTCTGTTTATTTTTATTTTTTAAAAATGAACTTTTCCAGAAATCAGGGGGACTTTTGATTTGGAGGGACATCCCAAATGTAGTAATGTACAGGAGGTCCCCGACTCACAACGGTTCATTTAGTGACTGTTCCAAGTTGCATCAGCGCTGGAAAAAAGTGGCTTACGACCGTTTGTCACACTTACGACCCTTTGCAGCAATCGCCGTTCTCGCGTGATCAAAATTCGGACTCTTGGCAACTGACTCATACTTATGACAGTCACAGTGTCCCGGGGTTACAGGATCCCCTTTTGCAATTCCCCCAAAATCCATTGGGAATCCAGATTCACTTAACAACCGGGTCACTAAGGTAACAACTACAGTGATCTCCTTAACAGCTGTGCCAAGAAAGGTCGTAAAATTAGTTTAACGAAGAGAAGGACGAGGGGGGACATGACAGCAGTCTTCCAGTATCTCAGGGGCTGCCCCAAAGAAAAGGCAGTCAAGCTATTCTCCAAAGCCCCTGAAGGCAGGACAAGAAGCAATGGATGGAAACTAATCAAGGAGAGAAGCAACTTAGAACTAAGGAGAAACTTCCTGACAGTTGGAACAATTAACCAGTGGAACAACCTGCCTCCAGAAGTGGTGAATGCTCCAACACTGGAAGTTTTTAAGAAGAGACTGGACAGCCGTTTGTCCGAAATGGTATAGGGTTTCCTGCCTGAGCAGGGGGTTGGACTAGATGACCTCCAAGGTCCCTTCCAACTTTATTATTATTATCATTATTATTAAAATGGGGCAAAACTCACTTAACAAATCTTTTGCCTAGCAACAAAAATGTTGCACTCAATTGTGCTTGTAAATCGAGGGATAACTGTAATGAAGGAAGCTTAACTATTATGCACCATGCCCGTTCATACGTGTTGCAATATATATAATTATGGACTGTATTACTAGAGTGACACAGAAGGTAAAACTAGGGACGTTGTACAGATTTTCGGAATCTCTGACTTTTAGTAGCTACTCATATGATTTCCCCTCTCCTGAAACCTGGGACTGAAGTCTTGGGATTAACTTAGGAAGAGTGTTTCCTTTCTCTTTCTTGAATTCCAGTTACATCCATTCAATTAGTAATGAGAGGGAATGGGGTTTGAACTGGATCTGGGTTCTTCCCATGCAGCAGTGTAATATTAGTACATTTATTCCTTACTCATCATGGGGAAGAACCTGTCAGTGAAAGATATCCTACTTCGAGTGAAGATTTTAAAATTTGGTAGCCTCACTAGTAAAAAAATAAATAAATTGACTCAACATCTGGATTTGGCCTACCTCCAACTAGGTGGTAATGTTGGTATGCACCCTTTCTAATTTCATTATCTGCCAGAGATAGATTAAAAAATAAAACACTGTCTCCTAATTGAATGTCTAGAGAAGTAAAAGCAAAGACGAACGGTGGATGCTCTAGAGCAGGGGTAGGCAACCTTGGCTCTTTTATGACTCGTGGACTTCAACTCCCAGAATTCCTGAGCCAGCTATGCTATGCTGGCTCAGGAATTCTGGGAGTTGAAATCCACGAGTCATAAAAGAGCCAAGGTTGCCTACCCCTGCTCTAAAGCTATTTGCAAGACTTAACAGAGCTGTGCAGGCTTCAAATTCAAAAGTGAAGAATTGCTTCAGAGTATCTAGGATATTTGCATAGCATCCATCGGTAATTCCTTAAAACATCCTTTTTAAAACAAAAAACACCTGGGATTGCACAGCTGCAATTGAAATACGATGTATTTCCATTAAGGAACCCCAGGCCAGGTGTCAGCCACCCCATCTGAATCAAAATATCGTATTGTCCACCTGCAGAGCTGTGATATGAATTGGATGCCCAGCGATCTGTATACATTTTCAGGAAATAACCCTATATAGACTTGTCCGTGTTCCTTTGAATTGGCGTTCTGATTAACAGCAAATTATAAACTGCTTATCTTGGAATTAAAATTAAATTGCTCTTAATTAAAGCACTCTGCTCTGAAACCCACACTCGTTTAAAATGGGCAATTCCTAAGCTTTTTGCACCCTGCTAAACCTCAAAAGTTCAACTGTGACTTGGATGGCTTGTCATCCCAAGCACGGAGATACGAGAAGAAGCGCTGAATTTTGCAATTTCAACTTTATCCTTCAAGTTTAGAACAATCCGTTTCTTGCTTAACCAACTATTTTTTTCCTTTGTACACCAGGTCTTCTTCTATAATTGAACAGTTGCCATCCAGAAACAGTTAGCTGAGTAGGTTTTAATTAATCTCACAGCTGCAAAAGTACATCTTGACCGCAATTAGGGCAATCAGAAATGACTTTTGGGATAGATGTTAGAGCCACTTGGATTTTCTGTGGGCAAGATGGAATGTAAATTTGCAAAAGAATTTCGGCGATTAGGCAACTGAAGTGTGAAGACATAACCCATTAAGGGGTGTCATGCCAAATTAATATTACCAGGCCTTTTAATGACCCCTCATTTGTATAATCCTTATTTACAGTTGCACCTGATCACCAACGGATGAGGGCCGTTTTTGCACTCAAAATCCCCAGTATTATTGCAAAAAGAGCCCAATTTTGTGGAGAACGGGCCCCTAAATGGCTATCAGAAGTTACTTTAAATTTGGCGGATAGAGACCTCGAAAGAAAAATTTGGAACTTCATTACTGTGTACGCCCCAAAGTGGAAAGAGATGCTAATCCCCTCAATGGAAGAGTTAAGTTTCTATCTGGCTTTGGCAGAGATGGCAAAGCCAACTGAAGGGAAGAATTTATCTAGTTTTATTTCCATTTGGAAACCACTTCTGGATTCTGTACTCAAAACTGAAAAACAATAAAAACTTTAATTTTACTTTAACTTTTGACGACTAGAATGACCTTTGTAGAAATGGGTTGAAACATCTGGAAATGTACGTAAAGCAACAGGGTTGGGGCTGTTAATTTGTTTGTGTTCTACTACACTGAAAAAAAAAAATTGGAAGCCACAACTTTCCCCCCCCCTTTTTTTTCTCTGCTTTCTGCACTTCTTTTCTCTTTAACTCTCTCGATTTTTGTTTCTCTTTGTATTCTATCTTATAATAAGCTTTAATGAAATACTTAAAAACTAACTAAGAGAAGTTATTTTAATGTGTAGAAGTGTATATTTGAACCAAAATGATGCTGAGAGTTCCAGTAAAAAAAGCACAGAATGAAATGGGTGATGGTAAATAAAGCACAGTGATATACTAAAAATTTAATGAATAATATAAGAAAATATTTTAAAAATCAGGATATGTATGTATGTATGTATGTATGTATGTATGTATGTATGTATGTATGTATGTATGTATAAAATAAAAATCAGGTGCCCAAACTGGATCCAAAGCACATTTGCACATCTCTACATCAAATTCAGATCACAGAAGGGTTGTGGGTCTTCACACAACATTTGTTCCTGTTGTGTGGAGCAGAACACAAAAGGGCTTTCCATTTCTCCTGCCTAAATTCTTTGGATTTCAGCTCCTATTAATCAATATTTTTTGTAGATTGGATGAATTGGACCTGTATATAGAAAAGGCAGGTAGGAAGCAAACCCGTTCTACAAAAAGTTTTATTTTGTATAATTTATGTTCTTGCTTGGTGTGCGTTTCTCTCCGTTCCACCAAATCCTGATGACGCCTGCTCTTCTATTTTCTCTGAATTTTTACCGAGGAGTTTTTATCTTCCCCCCCCCTAATCCCACCATTTCTATCAGGACATAATCTCTTTCTCAAATTTACATTTTAATTACAAGGCCAGCCGAAGGAGCTAAAATCAATAAAGTCAGCCTTCTCCCGGTCCAACTTTCTGCAGGGGGGGGGGACCAGCCTCTCCCTTTCCTTCCATTGATTGATCTCTTTAGGATGGTCTGTTTTATTCCTGCAGGCAAATAGGTGCCATTTGGTCAATTTAAAAAGGGGTGGAAAAAGAGAATTTGGATTTTATTTTATTTTGTCTGCCGACGAAAGGATTAGATGATGTATTCATCAAGGCATCGTAGTGGTATGATGGACAGTTGAAAATATCCAAAGGATACCTTTTAAAGTCTGGAATTGTAATTTTGGAAGCATTTTGCTTCACGTGAAATGGAAACTCATATAACCTAATTATAGATAAATTATATTAAAATATTGTTAAAACGAGTAGCTCTCTATTTACTGTATAAGCCACTTTTTTTCTTTTTTTTTTCTTAACATTTACACTACCTGGTTTACCATTTTTAAATTTGTAGCTCTGTTTTGGCATCTTTGGCTCTTTTGGCAGAGCTATTTCGATAACTCTCAAAAAGGCGTTTATCGTCTCTAAGGCCCGTGTTCAAAATGGCAGCCAAGAAATCCTGAATTACTTCTGCAGAGTTGCCTCAGAATCTCCTTAAAGTCCCTTCAAAGCATTCAAACCGCATTTGAGATTGAAATACCTTTATAGACACTGTGAAGCTCTGGATCGGCTGTGGAATTCCAATATCTGTAATTCTTGACTTACAATGGAGCTCAGATTTTCTGTTGCTAAGTAAGACATTTCTTCAGTGAATTTTTGCCCCGTTTTATGACCTTTCTTCCCACAGTTGCTAAGTGAATTACTGCAGTTAAGTTAGTAACACGGTTGTTCAGTGGATCCAGTTTCCCCGTGGATTTCGCTTCTCAGAAGGTCGTAAAAGAGGATAACGTGACCCTGGGACACTGCAACTGTCATAAGTACATGCCAGTTGCCAAGCCTCTGAATTTTGATCACATGACCATGGGGATGCTGCAACAGTCATTAAGCGTGAAAAACTGTCCTAAAGTCACCTTTTCCGGTGCCGTTGTAACTTTCAACAGTTACTAAACAAACTGTTGTAAGTCAAGGACTGCCTGGACCAGATACAGGTATCGACTAATGGATAGGTAACCAGGAAGATGGAATGTGGACCATTGGGGAAAAAAATGGAAAATTCTAGAAAGATTCGTTTGGTGGATTGATCTATCTTTTCAAAGACCTTTTTTTTCTGCTTGTCCTTTTATTTATATAAATAAATTCTTTATTTATATTCTTCTTGCTTTCTTTGAACAATTTGCTATCAGTAATGTCTTATTTTGAACTGGTAGACTATCCTGCTGCCCGAGAACCTTATTCTGTGTACAAAATTAGCTGTGTAAGACAGCCAGGTGTTCCCTCCTGGATGACGTAGGAGGATTTTACGCACCACTTGGCAATAATTTTACTCACCCTATTTTCTCTGCCTTTATTCTTTTGAGGCCTGGAACCTGTCTTGCCCACAAGAAAAAGTGCGGTAGGAACTGGGAAGAACCAAGCGGTGCCGATGATGTCTCCGTTCTTATCCCAATCTGTGGTGGAGGAAGAGCTGGATCCAACCTCTGCTGCAGCCACGTGGAAAGTTATCCGAGATAAACTGCCCAGACTGCCCACTGCAGAGGACAAGTAGGTACCAGATGTTGGACAGATATCTTATCCCAAAGGTGCTTTTTCAGGAGGCAACTGGACTTTCTTGTTTTTCTTTGAAGACGTTTCGCTTCTCACCCAAGAAGCTTCTTCGGCTCTGACTGGATGGTGGGGAAGGGAAGGATTTATACTCCTTGCAGACAGCCGGTCATTTGCACTCTCTCTCTCTGAGAGTCTTTGAGGCCACTTGGAGGTTTACCTGTGTCCTCAGGATCACCTGAGTGTGCAAGAGGGGTCCAAGAGGCCACCTAGGTCAAAATTGAACAGTCTTCTCTCAATGGAGGGGGAGGGATATGACAGGTTTGCTGAGTTCGGAGAACCAGCTGAATGCACACCGCTTCCAGAAGTCCAGTCTAGGCCTCGGAGGCCTCCCAGGCCTAGAATGGCCCGCCAGAAGTGCATGGATGCCACTTCCGGATGTCTGTTATGGGCCTCGGAGGACTAGAGGAGATCTCCCAGGCCTAGAATGGCCCATCAGAAGTGCATGGATGCCATTTTCGGACGTCTGTTCTAGGCCTTGGAGGCTTGGAGGAGGCCTCCGAGGCCTAGAACGGCCCACAGGAAGTGCATGGATGCCGGAAGTGCATGGATGCCACTTCCGGAAGTCTGTTATAGGCCTCGGAGGACTAGAGGAGATCTCCCAGGCCTAGAATGGCCCACCGGAAGAGTGTGGATGCCATTTCCAGACATCTGTTCTAGGCCTCGGAGGCCTGGAGGAGGCCTCCGAGGCCTAGAACGGCCCACAGGAAGTACATGGATGCCACTTCTGGAAGTCTGTTATAGGCCTCGGAGGACTAGAGGAGATCTCCCAGGCCTAGAATGGCCCACCGGAAGTGGATGCCATTTCCGGATGTCTGTTCTAGGCCTTGTAGGCCTGGGGGAGGCCTCTGAGGCCTAGAACGGCCCACCGGAAGTGCATGGATGCCACTTCCGGAAGTCCATTCTAAGCCTTGGAGGCCCAGGCAACCGGTTGTTCAGTTATTTGAATCCCACCACTGATTTACTCTCTGTTTATATACATACGGTTTTCCCTGTGAGTGTTTGCGGTGGTGGTTCCTGGATTAAGTTTGTTTCCTGGAACCCTCAACTCAACAAGGCAGCAACTTGGACAAAAAGTCAAGCAGTAAACAACAACCTAAGAAGAAACAGCTTCTTGGAGGAGAAGCGAAACGTCTTCAAAGAAAAACAAGGAAATCCAGTTGCCTCTTTAGTTGAGTAAACAACAGCCTAACAGATGGAAAGCATGAACAATTATTAAAATTATACTTGTTAAAGATAAGAAGGATGTAAAATGTAGTCTGCTTCTTGGATCTTGTTTGGACTGCCTCTCTCCCCAAGCACCCAAAACACACTTGAGTTTTGCTGTGAATGCACAATAAATTGGGTGGTTTCCAAGAGCTGCTTAACAACAAGTTGCATTGTGCAAATTTGAGTCCAAGCTGAAACAAAATGGCCTTTAACATGAGAACAGGCACGTTTTCTGCTTTCTTACCATTTTTCACGCACGTTGTAGGGATTGCGAACCGACAACATCCAAGGAGGCCAACAGTCAACGTGAAGAAGAGAAAGCCAAAGCACCTCTGGTGCCTTTTGGGATCGACCTGTTCTACTGGGGCCAGGAGCAGCCAACATCTGGAAAGATCCTCAGGTAATAAACTGGTCCAAAATACGGAACACATTTCCCAAAAAATGCTTGTGAGGGTCGATGCTTGCACATCTTACACGCTC